GAGTATGATCCAATCCTATCCAATCACATCTGTGGTACGTTCCCCTATCCAATCACATCTGTGGTACGTTCCCTATTCAATCACATCTATGGTACGGTCCCTTATTCAATCACATCTATGGTACGTTCCCTTATCCAATCACATCTATGGTACGGTCCCTTATTCAATCACATCTATGGTACGTTCCCCTATCCAATCACATCTATGGTACGGTCCCTTATCCAATCACATCTGTGGTACGGTCCCTTATCCAATCACATCTATGGTACGGTCCCCTATCCAATCACATCTGTGGTACGGTCCCTTATCCAATCACATCTGTGGTACAGTCCCTTATCCAATCACATCTATGGTACGGTCCCCTATCCAATCACATCTGTGGTACGGTCCCTTATCCAATCACATCTGTGGTACGGTCCCTTATCCAATCACATCTGTGGTACGGTCCCTTATCCAATCACATCTATGGTACGGTCCCCTATCCAATCACATCTGTGGTACGGTCCCTTATCCAATCACATCTGTGGTACGGTCCCTTATCCAATCACATCTGTGGTACGGTCCCTTATCCAATCACATCTGTGGTACGGTCCCTTATCCAATCACATCTGTGGTACGTTCCCCTATCCAATCACATCTATGGTACGTTCCCTTATCCAATCACACCTGTGGTACGGTCCCCTATTCAATCACATCTGTGGTACGGTCCCCTATTCAATCGCATCTATGGTACGGTCCCCTATCCAATCACATCTGTGGTACGGTCCCTTATCCAATCACATCTGTGGTACGGTCCCTTATCCAATCACATCTGTGGTACGTTCCCCTATCCAATCACATCTATGGTACGGTCCCTTATCCAATCGCATCTGTGGTACGTTCCCCTATCCAATCACATCTATGGTACGTTCCCCTATCCAATCACATCTGTGGTACGTTCCCTTATCCAATCACATCTATGGTACGGTCCCTTATCCAATCACATCTGTGGTACGTTCCCTTATCCAATCACATCTATGGTACGGTCCCTTATCCAATCGCATCTATGGTACGGTCCCTTATCCAATCACATCTGTGGTACGTTCCCCTATTCAATCACATCTATGGTACAGTCCCTTATCCAATCACATCTGTGGTACGTTCCCTTATTCAATCGCATCTATGGTACGTTCCCCTATCCAATCACATCTGTGGTACGGTCCCTTATCCAATCACATCTATGGTACGTTCCCCTATCCAATCACATCTGTGGTACGTTCCTTTATCCAATCACATCTATGGTACGGTACCCTATCCAATCACATCTGTGGTACGGTCCCTTATCTAATCACATCTATGGTACGTTCCCCTATCCAATCACATCTGTGGTACGGTTGCTTATCCAATCACATCTATGGTACGGTCCCCTATCCAATCACATCTGTGGTACGGTCCCTTATCCAATCACATCTGTGGTACGGTCCCTTATCCAATCACATCTATGGTACGGTCCCCTATCCAATCACATCTGTGGTACGGTCCCTTATCCAATCACATCTGTGGTACGGTCCCCTATCCAATCACATCTGTGGTACGGTCCCTTATCCAATCACATCTGTGGTACGGTCCCTTATCCAATCACATCTGTGGTACGGTCCCTTATCCAATCACATCTGTGGTACGGTCCCTTATCCAATCACATCTGTGGTACGGTCCCTTATCCAATCACATCTGTGGTACGGTCCCTTATCCAATCACATCTGTGGTACGGTCCTTTATCCAATCACATCTGTGGTACGTTCC